TGAAACGGGTGTAAAAACCAAAGCCGAGGTGTACCAAAATACCATCCTAACAAACATAGTGGAACCTCTTTCTCAAACAATGTTAAAAAACAGACATTGGATATTCCAACAGGACTTTGTACCAGCTCATAAGGCACGAAGCACGCAAAACTGTTGACCGCCCGTGGAATTGACTTATATAAAGACTGGACCTCTTCTAGTCCAGATTTAAACCCACTGGATTACAAGATATGACAAAATTTGGGGGAGAAAGTCTGCGTTAAACCTCATCAGAATTTGGATCTCTCCGAGCATCTTTGGCTAAAGCAACGGCAGAAATAGATATGAATGTGGTGCGTGCTGCGATTGATTGGCTGCGTCGATTAACGGCATGTATTAAAAATAGGGGAGGGCATTTTGAATAATGTAAATGAAATTGTATTCTAAATTAAATTACCTTTCATTTCATATATAATTTTTATATAATTGTCAAAAAGTGTATCATTAAATTTATAAAAAGTTTTGACAGAACTTAAACCTGACTAAGTAGGTATATAGGTATAATTCTATCCTATATTTAGATAAAAATAGTATAATGAGAAAAAAAATCAAAAATGATTTTTTCAATCTTCATATACCTACCGTGAGAACGGTGTGAGAGAGTGAGAGATAAAGAAAGAGTGAGAAGGGTAGATTGGTGCGAATTGGGAAATATATAGTTCACAACGGCTGCATGCACCACACGCTTTATGTTACAGATTATCTTATATCCGTGATCCGTGACAAATTACCTTCAAAATAAAAAAAATAACCCCGCTGGAGAATGTACAGGTAACGTTTTTTTCCAACTTTGTGACTCTCCCATTTCCTCACGTCACGCTCAAATGGTCAGATTATTGAAATGTACACTTTTCCGCATGTAATTAACTTATCTTGCCTCAATCTGACACCCTCGAGTTTTTCTAACGATCGATTTTTTTCTATACTGATCGGCTACCCTAGACGCTCGACCCTATATAAAGGGCTCAGGTATGGTGGGAGTACTCAACAGGGTGCAGGGTTTCCCCTCTTGTGAAATTCTGCCGCGCTTGAGTAAAACCCAAAATCCCCTCTTGTGCGCACCTTCTATTATGAATATTGCTACGCAACTGTTGGACAATTTGATATAACCTAATCTAACCAAACCTAACCATGCTAATAATACGATGATCGTATGATTAGAATAGAATAAATTAGAGAGTAAGCTCTTTTCTATGTTCCTAACTCGTATCGGTCCGGAAAAATCGCCGGTGGTAAACTATTCTACAGAGAGGTCGTACGCGGAAGGAAATTCCCACTACTTTGTTTGTTTTATTCAAATATCTTATTATCTTATTTATTTTTTTAATTAAAAATATATCACAAGAATAAAAAAAAATTGTAGTTTGATTATCGTATGAATGACACTTCTTATTACTCTGTCTAATAAATAATTATAAATATTTGAAAAATAATTAAATTGACCGGAAATGAATGAACCTTGAAATGATGTAATTAAAATGACCGGGCTTATTTCATAAAGCCCGGTAATTTTAATTACATCATTTGTATGTATCATTACAATAGTTTTTATCAAATTGCCTACTCATATTGGGCCTTATTCATATTATCCGGGCATTATGAATAATGCCCAAATTATATGGTCCATAACACACACACACACACACACACACACATATATATATATATATATATATATATATATATATATATATATATAATGTATTTACAGAAAATATTATCTGTAAATCTTAAAATATAAAAATCTCGTGTCACGATGTTCCTTCACGTTAATTTTCAAAACAGCCCAACCGATTTTAATGAAATTTTGTAAATGTGTATGTATTGCTTGCTCCAACTTGAGAAATAGGTTAGTATTATCCCGTTAACCCTTAATTACTCGCGTCCATATAGTTACACTTACGCTCGCGTGGGGAATATATAACCCCAATTGTAAAGGTACAATAAAACATATTTTTAATGACATATTTTTAATGACATACTTTTTTTTTATTATAAAAATTTGAAAGAGGCAACATTGTTCTAAATTGTAATAGTATCCTTAAAAACTTTTAAAGATATGAAACTTTAAATTTAGGAACTTTTTAATCAATACATTTATCACATATCATAGTGGAATGGTCGTGACAAACTTGCTGGTGGCATTTGGCACACATAAATCTTATTTTTTTATCCTTCGACCTTGGACAGATATGGCACCTTTTATAAGTTGTCGATGGACCACCTCTGGAAGTGGGGCTAGGATCCTGAACTTGAGCATTTCTTTTTAGCCGTTTTTGTACGGCCCTAGGCAGTTGTGGTATAGTTGCTCGAGTTTGTTGGCGAGCCTTTCCCAAATCAACTGCGAGATGCTTCAAAAACTCCCTTCTTGATATTCCGTGGTCAATTTTATTTTTATAAATGACATATGCATTGATACCAGCAACGTTGAGAAGGTGATAAAATATAACCATAGGCCATCTCTTTGTACGTCTGCCGACGTTATAGTTAGCACACATTTGGTCGTTGGTATCTACGCCACCTTTCGTGCGATTGTAGTACAAAATAATTTCCGGTTTCTTCTTTTCACTTTCAACTATTTTATTGTCATGATGCATTGACGAAATCAGCAGTACAGCTTTAGATTTTTTTGGAACGTAAGAGCAAAGTGTTACGTCTTCTTGGAAACCAAACAGACTGGAATGCTCAGCTCGTGTTCGTTTGGGCTGGAAGCAAGTTGGAATTTCCGGCTTATTCTTGCGAATAGTTCCAACCATAGTAAGCTGGCGATCTTTTAGAAGCGTATTTGTAAGAGGGACGCTAGTGAACCAGTTGTCCATCGTAACGTTTCGACCAGTACCCCAGATGGGTTCTGTCATGCGCTTTACCAAACTTACTGTATCATTAGGCATTCGATATGGACCCTCAGGTTGTACTCCAGCATAAATTTCAAATTTCAGTAAATAAAATGTTGCCGAGTCTACGAGTGCATAATGCTTTATGCCGTACTTCGTGGGTTTGTTGGGCATATAAACAACACCAGAAAATCTTCCTCGAAAGGCAGGTAATTGTTCATCTAGGGTGACATTTTCAGATGCAGAGTAATTATTGATGAAATTATTATTCATCAAATCAGTGAACTCTCTGACTGCTGCTAGTTTGTCTGTCTTTTGCCTTTCAGATCTAGTATTTTTGTCATCAAAACGAACACATCTTGATATAAAAAGAAATCTGTTGAATGACATTGTGTTTTGAAAAAACTCGATGCCTGTTCCATCGGTAGCCCACAGATCTTTGAAGTTCAAGTGAGATGAACGCAGCACACCAGACATGTAAAGCAAACCTAGGTAAGCCAAAAGTTCTTCGTATTCTAGGAATTTGCAATCACGTTCGCGTTGAAATTTTCCTTGTATCGATTTTATGTAATCGTTGGTCTGTTGCAGTACTAAATTGACAGTATCCATTGAAAACATACAAAAGAATGCTTCTGACATTGTATGTATCTCCTTGGCTGCTCCCTTAGGTCCTGGTGTTTCCCTCATAATATTGTGTCTACGAACTCGAACGCTAGTACGCGGCGGCTCTTTTGCCCACTTTGTGCATTTCTTTTTTGATAAATAAAAGCTATCAGAATCTTTACTTGCGTGTCTACTCAGCGGTTCATTATCGTCATCACTCCATTCTAACTCGGTTTCATTGGCACTTTCTTCAGATTCTGAGTTGTGGTCACTCTGGATCACTTCATCGTCTCCCTCATCTTCATCGGGACTATCTATGATGCTTTCTTCGTCGTCTTCTAATATACACTCAAGAATCTGGTAGTTAGAAAGACGCTTACTTGCCATTTTAGGTGTTATAACCTAAAAAAGAACAGAAAACAAAGATAAGTAAAAAAACCTAACCATTTAGTATCTGTACTGCACATTAAAAAATAAAAATAAAAATACTCACTTGTCCAAAAAAAGTTGCACGAATACTCGCGTGGGGCAATATATACCCCAGACACGATCTCCTGACACAACCACACGACACGGAGCGGCGCTCGTGACTGATTCGCGGCGGGGGGAGGTATTTAGGCAGCTACTAAGAACGGCATGGAGGTAACTTTAAAAATGGCGGAGATACGACGCTTCAAATACGCCGTGGGGTTAAATATACCCCACGCGAGTAATTAAGGGTTAAGTGACACTTTTGAGGATTTTTTATAGGACGAGGGATCTTCGGAAAGGGCAGAACTACTTCTGCTTGGCTAGCTAATATGTTATAAAGACTAAAGGACTTTAACGAGAATAACAGTCTTCCCGCGAAAAGGCTGCCAGCCAACAAATCTACATTCAAATCACCACATACCATACCATTAAAGGCTTAGTATATTTTTCTTATAGAATAAAGATGTCAAATTGGCACACAGTCCACCTAGGTAAGTGGATGCTGAGGCCCATAGACATCTACATCTTTCCTCCATTAAGAATCAAAATGCAAATGCGTTGTTGCGTTGTAAAAAGGGTCTCCGATTCTCTACACTCACCATACAAAACACAGTAGCATTAAGATGCTATGTTAATAAGCTGCTGTTATTCTGTGCGAGTGTGGTCCTTCCCTGGTCGAGCTACATCCAGTCACATAGACGTGCATCTAGAGTTCACTCATCCTCAACTATCCATCCACATATCCATCCAGGTCGTAATTCTATTTAGTTTCGTACATCTCACTTGCGACGGAACGACGCAGTCACTATAGACCTTTCTTCCCCATCAACAAGCACACTATAAAATGTTTTTAATTTATAATACTTTTATTTCTAAGCTACACAATTCTATTTTAGGATACTTAATTATATCTTAGTTTATATAGTCATTCGTTTTGTTCTTATAATATTATAGATATTTGATATCAGCAATGAAGTTTGATTGTTAGTACTAAAACTTTTTTCTTTTTATATCAATATATTTTTCTTTTATAGGACTGAGGGACTAGACACAATGAATACGGGTGAAGATGAGCCATCATCTAGTTTAAACGGAAGATTGAGGCCACGAAAGTCCAACAATGCCAGTTCCCAAACGTATAAAGTCTTGCGTAAAGCAGACGGTAAATCTTTCGCAGATAAACCTAAACGGACCAGCACTCCTACCAAAGTGTCGCCAAACAAATCGGATGATCTCGTTAACAAGTCTGATAACACGCCAGTTCTGCAACTTCTTTGCCCATATTGTGACAAAAAATTCACATCTAGACTGACTGCATCCAAGCATGCTCGACGTATTCACATGTCGCCTTTAAAACAAGATTTTCTTATTGATTGCCTTTTCTGTAACCATTCAGAATCAGAATCGAATGATATCATTCGGCACATGGTGGATAGTCATCCTAATCAGTACTTCGCTTGCCTTGATTGTCAAACCCGTTTTTCGTCCACGTCGGATCTGGCTGAGCACAAGCTTAATGTTTGTGAAAATCAAAAGCTACCATATCGAAGTAAACTGCGGCAGAAGTCATCAGACATCAAAAAGAACCAAAAAACACTTGGTGTCGATGGAAAGGATAATTTTCGGAATGAAAAAGAATTGGACGGACATGGCTTTAACGGCATTGTTATCTCTTGTGAGCTCAAACCAGCCCACGTGCATGATGATGCCGACATTGAAGATAATATAACAACAAATTTAATTATGCCTTCGGGCAAGGGAATTGGTAATAACGCAGTAATTGAGAAGAACGCAGTTATAGTATTAGATGATATACAGTGGAATAAACGTATACCATCAAATTTTTCATTCCACAATACAGATGCTGATCAAATTTTATCTAGGCTAGGTGTGGTACACAGATCCCCCAGGACTGGAGAATCTACTAAAAAAGATTGGCTTAAAACTGCTGACGATACAACACAAAAATTTGAAAAGTGTTTTGACAAAAGTTTTTATACAAAAGTTGCCAGTAATGTACAAGAAAATTTGTCAAAATATCTTGATGGATCGTTTAATGCTAACCCTGATCGTGATACCACCATAAAAACAAGAAAAGCCAAAAATTGTGTGGCTATTAATACAGTAGAAGGATTTCCAATTCTTCTAGCTTGTGAACAGTACTCTCGAAATTTATTTGATAGTTACATGCCGCGGGCTGTTGCACCCAAACACAAATGGAAGTGGGACAGTCCAGAAAACGATAGGTCTATAATCAATCCTGAACAAATCAAACGTGATTCTCATTTAAATAATTGTATAATAACATTGGTGTCTAGCTTAGACATCTGGACCCAATTAAGTATGAGACGAAAATTTGAAGATAAGTTTAATAGTTTACCTTTAGGAAAAAAGACTGAGAAACAAAATACTATCAGTAAGGAGTTGAAAGAAATACTCGAAAGTAGAGATATACCAACATCATCTTCACAAGTTGCAAAATACACCAGTAAAGCTGTCAGTTCAAGCGAAGGACTTGATTTTCCCGCTTTATTAGGGCTAACACCGGCAGCTCCTTCATATGATTTGCAACCAGCGGTGCTAAGTGGCGAATGGGTGAGGCCCCGTTGCTATGTTTGCTGTGCTTGTGGTGCTCAGACGCGTGATTCCCGAGCTTTATCTTCTCATATTTCTGCACAACATCCTAATGCATATGTACAACATTACGAAATTGTAGGAGAACCTTTACTAAATGCAGATATACTTAAACATTTGTACTTGCCTCCAAGCCAAAATCTTAATAGAACTCGACCACTAAGGGGGATTAGAGAGTGCACAAAATGCAAGAAATCTGTTACTCTTGAAGAATTACACCAACATATGTTAGATTGCGCGGGAGACACTCCGACTGTACGGAGAAAATGCCGCTACCGACCCTTCGGCGTTCGCAAACGTCGTCCACGGCTTCCGGACAATAGAATTCGAAAAAAAATGCGTAAAGATATAAGGACAGGACAAGCAAATGACAAAAATCATATGAGGTCTCGACCAAGAATAAGATCTGAAGTTGGCGATGGTAAGTTTTAAATAAGAAATTAGCTTTCTATTCTAAATAACTCTTTAACTCACTTTTTTGTGACAATAAACTTCTTTGGATGTTGTGGGTCCTATCAATGAGTATAGTTTCCGTCATACTATTTAATTAATGCAAATATTTCTTTTTATATTTCTTATTATTAAATTGCGTAAAAAAACACTAAAGAAAATTATTCTGAGACCGCCTTGATATATGTATAAATATTAATGACACTTAAGTCTGATTTTTCAATCGTCAGATAAGATTATAATATAAAAATTATATAACTTTATATGTACGAGTATACATAACCTAACTGAATATAAAAGAAAACAATTGCATTGATTTATTCACACAACTATAATAATGGTTTGTTTATGTTTTATTTTATCCGTGTAACTTTTATTTGACGTATGAAAAATTTGACCTATTCTCTTTGTTTAGTATATATACTTAGTAGTAATTAAGCAATGGAAAGCCATAAAAATATATACTATAAAAACTGTCAATATGAACAAACACAAGTAACACCACGAACTAGTTTTTGATTTTTCTGTGCCTAAAACTGTAGGAATCAAAACGCAGAGGACCCATGCAAAGATGAAAATTAAAATATCCTTAATAATAAACATGATACTTATTTGGTTTTATCGCATTCACAAACATTATCATTAGGCCGCACAGTAAGCTTCAAACGCCTACGATACAGAAAACTTAATCATAAACAATACGCGAGAGACTAACGACACTAAGCGTCTATTACAGTGAACGCTCAGTTGAAGTAATTTGTTAGCCATTTTACGCCATGTATAGTGCGACAAATTAATACAAATTTCAAACTAGTATCGGATGTAAGTTCTGTTTGTTTTGTTGTCTCAGTGATATGAATTGAAATCGTGTTATATTAATTATCACAATAGCGAACACTGAACTCATAATGATGCGATTTGATTTTGCTATTTGGCGCTGATAGCAAATCATTATGTAGGATATAGCCACTCCAGCGTACTAGTATATATGGAGGTCATTGGTAGCGAATTAAATTGCGTAACAGAGGACTGTTATTGTAGGCCATTGTCTATTCATCCTAGGCCCTTATTCTTAGATTCTATATTTTGAGCGTGTGTAGGTACGCTTAACTTCAATAATAGGCCGCTCCTCCACTAATGGTACAATTAGTTTTCTTTGCGAACTAGTAAACAATAACTTGTTTGAATTGAAAGGATACAACATGTGTTATTATTTTCATTACTTGAATGTCAAACAAACAAAAATAAGGTATAATACTTACTCTATGGCTAAGGCCGCACTACGGTTTTTTCCCGCAAGCGGTAAACCGTGAAACCGTATCACCGCCCGGGACGCACACACTACGGTTAAAAACCGCGAAACTGGAAACGATTTTCACAGTTTGAAGATGGATTTCAATATAATATATATATATATATATATATATATATATATTTTGGGTAGAGATGTAAGTTTGTTTATATATTCATATATATTTATGGATATGTGTATATTATATGTTTTACTTTATCTTTTATTTCATGTATTAGTTATTTTATTGCATGTAATGTCTATATATATATATATATATATATATATATATATATATATATCGCATGTATTGATATTATATTATGTATATTTATATTGCACCACCTACCTAGTATTTATTGGTTTATTCCTTTACACCTTTTTGGTTGCTTGGAAGAGATCACTATGTAGCGATAAAGCCGCCAAATTATACATATAATCTGCTTTTTGTTATGTTATTTGTATATTTGTCTGTGTTGTACAATAAAGTATATTCATGTCACTGAGAAACATCTTACTTGTGATGCTGTTTCCCTATACTTTGTTTAAGTAATGTTTGTGAATACGTGTGTTAATGTAATTGGGTAGTTGCAAACCCGGTTATTACTAACAAGGAGAAACACATACATACACACAAACACTTATATATTAATAAACATCTAATCTTTTTAAAAATATTTGCGAAAACTATCCTAAAAATCCTGAGTTCATTCTACTAAAAATATTATTATAGTAAATTGAGGAAGCTAGTTAAGGGTTAATATTGTTTTGTCAACTTATTTTTTTTTCTTGTTTAATTATATTCAGACTGAATTCTGAGTTCAGTAACAATATGTATATATGTTCGTATTTTGTTCCAGCTGAGACTATACGCAAAATGATAGCTGATCTACCAGCTAAGCGTCATCGGGTTATGGTCAATCCATTGAATGCACTGCCACGTAAAAAACTTGATGGAAAAAGAAATAAATTAATCATGAAGAAACTTTCCTTAGGCGATCAAAAGAAAAGGAATACTAGTGGAGAATCGCCCAGTTCTGAACGCAGTAAAGCTTTTTCCAATATGAAGCATAAACAATGCGCTTTAAATAATGATGAAGAGGACGATGAAGATGATAATTTACCCTTACGACCTAAAACCAATTTCGAAAATAAAATCTCACGCCAGAAAAAATCTTTAAACAAAAAAGCAATTATGAATCGGTCTAAAAGAAAACCAATTAAGGAAATGAAGATAATTATTGAAAAATCTAATGATGTCGACTGCACAGAGAGTAACCAACCTGAGCAACTGTCAATTGATAATACTCCGCAAAGGATAGATGTAAACGTAGGTCCGTGTAACGTTAGGGAACATTCAAGCCAAGGAGGATCTAATAACAGAGATGATCAGCAACCAGGTTGTAGTCAACCGAATGGAAATTTAAGTAATTCTACTGCCCCAACTCAAAATGTTCCTCTTAAACATTCAATTGCTCGTTTGACCGCTGATTCTGAGACTCATGATAAATCGGTACAATTTCATCGTCTTTTTCTTGTTCAACAAGAATGCAATAATATAGACCAACATTTACCTTCAGACCGTCGTATGCTTTTTGAAAACGAAGCAGTAGTTACTAAGCTTGACAAACCGCCTTTACACTTCAATCAAAAAAATATATTAGAGCATGAAAATCCTCGAAGGAACAAATTAGGTAAGCCTCGTAAAGGATTGAATGATTGCATAGCAATGTTAAAAAATAAGTTAACGCCAGCAAATCACGGTGACGTACCTGGACATGTTTCTGTTCAATGTGGCAGTGATGACCCGATTGAGCCAGAACCAATAATAATGGAGAAAAAGTCAACCATAATAGATCCAAATCCTAACATTGTAAAGAAATCTACCGATTCCGTAATATTGTCACAAGTTCCGATACAGAGCAATGCATTAGAACAAGTAAATGTTGAACAATTAAAATCTAATGAATCTGATTGCGATGTAACATCTCGAGACATTATTACTACAAGTGATGAAAATAACGATGAATTAATATTTAGTAAAAGCACTCTGGAGTCGGAACAAACAAATCAAGATAAAGACATAGAGATAAACGAACAAGACGATACAGTTTCGATATGTGCATCGACTACACAGATTCATATGCGACTAGAAAATGAAAGTGCACATAATTTTGTACCTTTAGCACCACCAAGAAATACAGTTATTAGAAAATCTCCAAAAATATCAGTTAATTCTGCTGCTTACGAAGATGAACCAAAAATCAAGTATAAAGATTCTGCTGCTGAGGCAACGGACAGTATTAAGAAAAATTGTAAGACACAAATTGTGAATGATGTCAATTTACTGAGGGAATCATCACCAAAAGTATCGCCAGACGTTTCCTTCGAATGTAGTAATACACAACCACGACCAATGAACGCTCAAGTTCAAAATGATTTAACCACCAATAATAATTTACTTGGATTGACTTCTTTAAATACTTATTCCTCGGATTTAAATTCTCATGTGAAGCCAAATAACCAGGAAAATGAATGTTTTTCATCGAAAGAAGTAAATATACAACAAAATCATAATATATCTTGTAAAATTAGTCTGGAATATTCTCCTACTGACTTTCAAGATATTCCAATCGCAATTCCTCCTGCTCATGCAAGTACGAATGTAGAGTCAATTTTATCGACACCCTTAGATTTATCTGGAAAAAATAATCATATGGATGATTCAGAAAATCCTTCTAATGAGGAAGTTTCTTTTATTTTAAATGCTTACGAAAGTTATGAGACATTAGATCTATCTAACAAAAATGTATGTGTTGCTGAATCCCTTAAAGGCAATGTTATTTCGGAGATGGATCCGCCTACGGATGTTATTGTAGACTTAAGCATTAAACCAACACCCCAATATTCTCAAGCAATTCCCGCAAATTTGTGTACAAAACGTGCAATTATTAATGCCACTCCATCACCATCAGATTTATCATATGAAAATGTTCCTACAGATTTATCGGTTAAGAAAGTCGGAAGAACTACTTCCGTTGACTTAATTCAAAAGCGATCTGAAACTAATTTTGTTCATGATTTATCTAATCATAAATCGAAGCAAAGGGAAGCATTTCAAGATTGTTTCGCTGAAACTGAATTTGACAATAATGATATGCCGACTGATTTATCCGGTAAAACTTTAAATGACAAATCTTCAGTAATAGACGTTTCTTCACGGGAAACTGAATCGAAAACAAAAAGTAGAGAAACTAAAGGTGTTGCTCAAATTGGACTAACACAAAAATCTACTCAGATTATTAGAAATGCTCGTGAAAATATTGCAACGGAACGTATAATAGATGTTACTCCACCTCTTACTGAGAATATTTGCGAAGTTAATGATATAAAAATACTAGAAAATCGTGCTACACATTGTTTACCATTAATGAGTGATAACGATTCTATTAGCCCTTTAAAACGGCATTTTCAAATGACCCCAAATACGTATAACACTTCGGACTCCAAACACGTAACTATTATAGAGGAAACAGACAACGGTGACAGCATAATTGCCACTGAAACAGTGTCAAATAAGTCTTTGGTTGATAAAGTTGTGGTAACACAAGAAAAGTTATTTAGCGAAATTGAAAGACCTATTTTAAGTGTTGCAGGTTGTACTATCGGTAACACAGTACCTCTCTATACTTTGATAAATCGAAACATCGCTACACACCTGGAAAGTACTACCCCAGTGTATACATTGGCCAATGCTTGCATATCTGTGACTAAAATTGATACTTCTAGTTCAGCAACTTTGACAAAGGCTTTGTTAAGCATTCCTGGAACGGCATTAGCTAGTACAAAGCCTGTTTACACTCTAGCAGGTACTACAGTTGATGCATCAGTTAATTACGGTAGTGTTTCCTTTCCTAATCAGATCAATAGCGGAAGCCCTAATATAAATGAACATTCACATAATATCCCAGATAATGAGTCATCTGTCAATGAAACATCCGAGATGAGAGGTTTTGAGAGTAATTCTACTCAATCCAGTAACATATTAAAAGAAACTTATGATCTTACTAAAGAAGAAATAATTGATTGTGATTTGGAAGAGGACACTGAAACAGCAAGGAAAATTGCAATGTTGCCCAGAGAATTAGTAGAAATTTTAGGTACCATGCCAGTTGACCATAGAAATCAATTATTAAACGTTCTACCGCACTATGTATCAACTTCAGCTTCCCTTGCAGCATCGGATACACAATCGCATTTAAAAAACAGTTCAAGATCAGAATCCGTAGGATCACCGTCACCATTGATGCAAGACAACTTAACAATAGAGCAAAACTATAATAAAGAAACACCAATAAAGAAAAACAATGACCCAGTTCCAGCAAATTTACAGGAACTAAAGAATATTCCTGTTAGCATGGTTGGGTCAACATCAGCTTCTCCAAACGTTTTACCCGTATCTACTCCACAGTCTGTTATTCTTAAAACTCCTACATTTGGAGACGAACATAAAATAAGAAAATCTCATAATGAATATTCACCTTTGAGCACTACAGCAACGAATCGTGTTGTAAACCATCGGCCAAAATTAATTCCATCAGAAGTAATTCAGAATGCTATCATAGACTTAACGGACGATGAAAATGGGCTTCAAGTTCAAGATGACGTGCAGATTATTGAAGATGATTTAAGTGAAGTAAGTAAAGAATTAAATCTAAATTTAGACGGTAACTCAAAGTCACCTAAACAAAAGGGTATAAGCGATCAAACTGCAAGCTTAAGGGCAGTGCGTATTAAAACCCCGTCTGAACGAAATAAACAAACGGTCCCAGAAAACCCTTTGGAAACGCAAAATTATTATAATACTTCCATTACTGATCTTTCTGATCAATGTGAGGATAGCAATAACGACAAAAATATTGACATGAGGAAACATGGTAATGAAGCCGAGAATAAATCATCAATAACAAATACACCACTGAAAATTAGTGTGAGTGAAATGAGAACATTTGATCCAAATCAAACACGTGCTTCTGTGTTTGCTACGGAAAAAGTTCAGGCTGCTAATTACCAAGAAGTTCTAATTGAGAGTACGTCATCAAAATCTACAATTATTATGTCGCCAAATGCAACTGAAAAGAAATTTAACAAATATCAAGACAAAATAATTGATGAAAGATATGATATAATTAAAATGAACAGAGAGCCTAATGATCCATCTGCGAATCTATTCCAGAATGCAGGTGATAAAGAAGTGATTAATTTAGATATCAACGACATAAATGAATCTCGCACTTGTCATGTTTCTGAAGCTACACCACTTGCCAAATCCCGACTCTGTGTGGACCATCGTCATTCACTCACACGAAAGTTTAAGGAAAATAGTGATGAGGATTCTGATGATGATGATGTGTCTTTGGCAGTTATAGTAAAACAAAAGCAGCGTGATCAATCAAAATTATCATCTGTTTGTGATAAATCTACGCGTACACCAATTGATCCCACTACTGACAGTAAGAATAGAAAAAAAGAAAAAAGAAACAGAAAGTCTGATCCAAAAAATAATGACAACGAAATGTTACTAAAAACAAACATGGAAAATACGTCAAATAATTCAGATGAATTGATCACAAATTGTGTAGAAATCGATGGTACGACGCTTCGTAAAAACTGTTTGAATTTAGGTTCCGATGAAAATGGTAAGTTACAGATTGAAGTTACGGACAATATACATAAAAGAAAAACAAGAAAAGGACGACTTGAGATTTCAGTTACGAAATCAGAGTTAACAGATAAGTCCTCTAAAAACAAATCAAATTCATCAGATGGAATTGACGTTATACCAGAAAACAATAAAACTTCTAAAAACAGGAATAGTAAAATAAAAAACGTTGAAGTAATTATTAAATCTAAAACTTCTCAAACGTTTCTTTCTAAAAATATGGATAGTGATAGTAATGAAATTGTTGTAAATAATGGCGTTCATAATAAATGTAGTTTTGATAACCTTACAGACACTTTTGAAATAAAGGATGACTTAAAACGATGTCAAACAACAAAAACAGTCGAAGAACACCAATCGCCTAGTGTTATTTATGACTGTATAAATTCAAACGAAAACACGACCAAAGAAAATTTACAAAAAACAAATCGAAGTTTAGTTAAAGAAATAACTCACAAACAACAGAAAGACATTGATAGTAAAGCATCGTTTGTTGCTCATGAGTGCTGTCAAATTAATCTTTTAATACAACCTAGAATAATTGAGTCAGTCGAATCAATGAATTCAGAATCGGATCCTTCATCGGTTAGTACAAATAATGATAATAGTTGTCTTGATGACCATCATCATGATGCAAGTTATAATGAAATAACCGACATAGATCTAACAAAGAAGAAAGCGGTACGTATGAAAAAACATAAAAATATTGATGCTACAGGACCAATTATGTCACAAAGAGTATTGGTTGAAAATGAAGAAAGTATTACAACCCCTTTGCGACGAAGTCGCCGTGGTAAATCATTATTTGTGGAAAGTAATTTTGCAGATACTAAAACTTCAAACCAAAGTTGTACTTCCGCTGAACTAAAAACTCCGCTTACTAAAAAACAGCTTATTTTTTCGAAACTGCTATTAGATGAAGATAATCTTACGAAACCTATCACGTTGACAGAAAAAGAACCAATTGTAATTATTAAAAATGTTAAGATAAATTCCCATGTAACGTCTTCAGTTTTCCATGGAAATAATAATGATAAAAAATCACAAGATTCTATTAGTAATGAATCGAAACACAGTAAAGCTTCTAAAAGAAAAAAATCTCCACAGATAAAACGAAAAACGAAAAAAATTAAAACAACAGATAATCTACGCGTTGAAAATATATGTTTATCGCCTGTAACAAAAAACAATGAAACTGAAATCAATAGTAAACCAGAAAAAAATAATCATGATATGGAGGATAATCAACTTAAATCAACAAATGAGACGTGTATAGAAAATACTCAAATACTGACTGTACTAAATCAAGATTGTATAGTTCTCAAGCAGAACGTAAAAAAAGTGGAATGTGACAACAATGATGCGGTTAATACAAGTTCATGTAATAACCAAGATCTCAGTCATGTTGGACACCTCAATAGTAATACCAAAACAAATTTTACCCAAAAACGGAAAATTTGCTGTACACTAACTAGTGCCGACATCATTCCCACATCTAAAAAATCTAAATTCAATAATGAACTTGAAAGCGTATCGAAATCTAGTGAAAAAAAGGACAAACAGGACAATGGTGAAGAAAATTTAAGAAGAAGTAGAGCCAGGAACCCAGTAACAGAATTACGTAATAAAACATGTTATAACTCGCATATTGCCGCTAGGCGAACCCGATCAAAATCGGTTGTTGTTAAATCAAGTACATCATTATATGATCCTTATGATATAGACTTAGAAGAGATGATTGATAAGACTGAACCTTTTGGAAGAAGATTAACGTCTTCGGAAAAAGTTTTTAATAATTTAGGATTCCTCAGAGATCACGATTTCAAAAAGAGAAATAAAAGTGAGACTTCAGTTGGAGTTAACACAGAGCCAATTAGTAATGGAGATAATATAGAACCAGTTCAAATTCAAAATAAAACCGATGACAAATTCAAAGGAAATATGAGCGATTCAGATGATTCTACTAAAAGTGATATACCCTTGCAAAAATACGTAGAAGAAAAAGAAAAAAAGAATTTAGAGTCAAATTTTAATGATAAAATTCCAGAAGCAGGATCTGCTAGCGGGAACAATGAAGCAATAATCTGTGAAAAGGATATCGATTCAAAAGATACAAAAAAGAACGATGGAATGGGCAGTACAGAGCAAGAGTCTGAACAACATTTAAGGTCAGAACAGTTTATGGAAAGTTTCGGTTTCTTTTCTGAAAGAAAACCTAGAAAATCAAATTTACTGGCTACGAAAAAAATTTCTGAAACATTCCACATAATAGCAAATGAATCTGATGACGTGAACTTAGACTCTAAAGAGGGAACAAATAAAAAGGCAGCAGAAACTGAATCCAAAACTTCAAATGAAGATGAAAGTAGTAGAGATTCATCACAGTCTCCAACAAAAAAAGGTACAAAACGAGGTCGTAAAAAGACGATTTGCATGAAACCCATTCCAAGACATTGTCTTATTTGCAAAAAAGAATTTAGACGTCCCGATAATTATCTGAGGCATCAAATGACGTTACTTCATATTTCTAAGTTATCAGAAATTGAAATGAAAGTAGAAACAACGCCTGTTTACGAAGAGCCTAATTACCTTATAGCATATAAGCAGCAATTGGATCGCCTGCGACACTTAACTGAAAAAATGGCAAAACGTAAGAATAGCTCTAAGTCAACGTCCAAAATTACTTTGCCAACTTTAGATGAAATTCTGGCCGACGTTAATAGAACTGTTAGAGAACAGCAATTATCGCGCCGAAATCTTAGCCGAGATGAAGCTCTATTTCTAGATTGTTGTGAACTCTTAAAAGAGTCTCATAAACCTGAGATACCAAACACCGATCAAGTTACTATAACAAGTGATGTAAATAACGTTTTAACATCACAGGTTACTGTTAATGAGATTAGTGGTTTAGAAAAAAGCGATGAAAAGTATGACACCAGAAGCGATGGTGATGTAGATTCAATTACAGCCAAAAATATTTTGGAAAGTGAAGAAGTACGAAATTTGGAAAATGATTTAATCTCAGGCTTAAAAGAAGCTGCAGCGAACTCTCTCACGCAAGCTGGGAATAGTCTCGGGTATCAACCTACTATAAGTGAAGTTAATCCAGATCAAAATATAAAAACAAATGACATCTCAAATCTATCTGTTACCGTATCAAGTCATAAATCTGTAAAATGTTGTGAACAACCTGTGGATGAGCTCACTACTTCCAAAACTAAGAAAAATAATGACGTTAAGGATAAAATGTATCCAGATGTGATCGATACAATAGATATGTTTGAAGATAAATTTGACAAAATTAAAAGAAAATGCAGGTCTCAAGCTGCAGCCGCTAAACACGTTCAGCCTGTAGTGGAGTCAAGTTCAAGGTATTATTTTAACTGTATTTTTTATAATCTATTTTTTTTAATTATAGCACTTTATTATCATTCCCATAACATTATATTTATGTACTTCCACGAACTCGTAGTGATTCGTAATTAAATAATTTTATCATAAAAATAATATTAATTTGCAAAAATTACCATTGGTTATTTAAATATTGAACACGTTCTCAGATACTTTATTTATTGTTACAGCCCCAAGGGACGCAAAAAATCAGAGAAGAAAAAAGGTAAAAGAAGTTCCAAGAAAAACTATCAAAATGCATTACTTACCAAGGGGGCACTAAAAGGATTTGACGGTATTAAAGTATCTATTCCGACATCTGATATTAATATGGCAGCGATTGTCCCGTCTATTGAAGGCTCTTCAAAGACAAAGAAGAAAAGCAATCCCAAGAAGAAAACAGATAAAATAGATGTTGAAATAAACAATAAAAGCAGTACGGATCATAAACCCAAAACTACCCCCCAGAAGGTTGACGTTTACGAATTTATGGATAATGAAGATGCTGAGTTGTTTGAATTTAGACCATCAACTGTAATGGAAAGATTTAAAACTATAAACAGTCGGGATGCACCAAGCACTTCTAAATTTATCCCACATGCTGAAAAAGATGATTTCTCGAGTGAGAGTGGCTCTGACGGCGATGATTTTGTTTACGACGATTACGTATGTAGTGATGATGAGACTGAAAATAGCTTGATGTCGTGTGAATTAGGAAATGGAAAAGTAGCAACTGAATCTAAAAAACCTGCTTCATCACTAAAGCGTAAAGATGCTGTTGAAAAAAATGCTGTCATGGGTAAAATATTTAAATATAATGCTGTTCGTACGGAGAAAAAAAGTAGCAAAACTAAGGAACTAGTTAAAGCAAAAGCTAATCTCGATCAATTGTTTGACAGTTTACTTGAAGATGAGCCCGGCCCTTCTTCGTCAAATAATTCGTCATATAAAAAAGAAGAAAGTATATCCCCAAAGATAAATGAATCTGTGTCTTTACGAAAGTGCAATGCAACAACTTTTAAACAAGACTCGAGAAAATCTCACAGTTCTAAGTCTTTAAGTAAAAATGACTCTCTATTTAGTACTAAAAGACGCGATAGCCCCTCAGAACATATCAATTCCGATAGTAAACCGTCGACGTCTAAGAAAAACAATTTAACTGCGGCTGGAGATTATTACCGATCATCCCCAAAAAAACATGTTTCCAGCAAGCATAATGCTACGACATCAATGGAATGTGAACCGTCAACGTCCAAAAAAAGTGACGAAGGGCGTCATTCATCAAAAAGAATCATAACTTCTTCATCTAAAGACTATCCAAATTCTACGCAGAAGAGATTTGAAAATTCGTCGCCTAAAAAGTATGACAGTGATTCTCCAACTTATTGCGATATTTCTTTACCAAGTTGTTCAAAGGATATATTTAGAGAAAAATCTCCATCACGACAATTAGAAAAAGGCATATACACCAATTTTGACTATACGGTGGACACTTTGGACGACGCAATATCCGATGATGCTGGAGTAGCTCGACAAAGAGCTCGTAGAAAATGCACTGTTGGCAAGCAAAATGTTCTAGCCGAGACTTGGAGTTCAGAATCAGAACCCGACGGTGTTCCGCCGCGGCCTAATAGCGCTGAGTCTGTTGTATCTGTGGTCGGGCGCAAAAAAAGGGGTAAGAAAAAAGAAGGGCAGCCATGCGGAGTGCGCAGGGGAGTGAGCCGTCAGATGCCCATTAAGAGGCAGGATGTCGAAAGTAGGGTAGCTCTATTCAATCGCAGCGCCTCAAGTGCAAGCGGCAGTAGTGGTAGTAGTGGATATAGTCGAGCTAGCAGTAGCGCTACATCCGCAGGTACGCCCTCCACGTCAACTGGTGGTGTGACTTCAACCAGTTCTCACGTGCCATTGGGGCCACCTGGTCCCAAAGTCCGCCCCCGCTCCTCTTCTTATTACTGTTTATCGGAGGGAGACGAAGAGCAGGAACATATCCAGCAGCACGGCTGGATCGTAGGCGACAGCCATAAAAAATTAGTAACCATGTTAGCGCACGCCAAGAGACGAAAGCGTAACAATGATGAAAAACGTCATGTGGTCGAGTAAGGTTTAGATGTCTAGAAATATTAATCATGTAAATATGTTGTAAATAATATTCTAGTTCTTTATAAATGTCATTTTTCGTGACATTTTGACCAGGTACCCTTTAAAGCTAAAATTTTATTGAGTTGAGTTCTGTAAATAATGTATATCTTTTATAGCATATTTTAGTTAAATTTTAAAAGAGCACATATACTGTAAGAACTGGGTTTATTTAATTCATTCTTAAACAGCCCTTGCAGTATTGTAGCCGAATTTTCTGAATAAATCTATTTAATTGAAGATTAAATTAGTCCTCTTTATACCAATTGTTTCATATCTTCTTTTACATCTTCATGGGATGGAGCATTTCTAATGACTTCAAATTAACTTTTAATCAGATAAGAATGTAGTAAATTAGTTATAGTACTTTGATGTTTCGTTAAACACGTAAAATTCAATATAAATATTTACTAAGGCCCGCCGACAAAATATTTCTGGTTCAATGTACTAATATTAATATATTCATAATAAAGCTGGATTGTCCAGACAAGCATTTATAACAATTTTAAATGAAATTTTATGGTGTGATTTTAAAATATAATACGCAGTAGACATTTCCTCGAAACTTTTAAGATTAGTATCTGTAATAAATGAAGAATAGACGTAACAATAGTATCGATTTGTTCTAAATGCCCCTACCCTATCGATGTGAAATGTTTTTGTGGAATCTATACCAGTTAAGAGGACAATTCAATGTGTGTTAAATTACATAAATTGCATATTGTGTTCCTTGCATAATATAATCCAATGCTAATTATATAATCTTAATGGATGTATTTAAACTGAAAAAATGGGAGTGCAATCCAAAAGGATTATTAAATCCGTTCAGAATAGTTCGTCGTACATAGAGAATTTATGTTTGGTAGTATCATCATGGGCTGGTAACGTGGTCAGGGTGAAACGTGTAAGTTTGAGTTGTATGATTTGTTAATTATTTTTAAACATAAGATATTTTGAGTAGTCAATTTAAATGAAATCTCAAGCTTTAGTTATTGTTTTTATCTAGTCCATCAATGAAAATCTATAAAACCGCATTATCAGCCCTGTAAGTATTTGTGATTTATTTCCAATAATGTAAAAAGAAGACTTATTTTATTGATTTAAACACTCGGCGTTGTATTTTTGTGTGAATCGATAAGTTTTATCAATTGTATTTAAATGAATGGAAGTAATCAAGTTTAATTCTTGAATAAAGCTCAATGTCCTAAATTTTCTTTCAATATGAAACATTTACTTCTTTATATTATCACGTTATAATAATATAATGCCAGATGGGATAAATGATATGCGATCACCACAGTGATCAGCAAAAATGTGGTGCTCTGTGAAATATTGGATATATTCGAATAAAACCACGACATTCCTTCACTAAAACATTTTTAATTTTTTTTTTACTATACATAATATTTATTATTTATCTTACTATTACTTATTATTATTTTGATATAGGCCTGTTGCACAACTTTACTCTGACAACTATCACTGCTCCAACGATGAAGACCACACAGCACAAAGCAATTACAATGGGTAATAGAATACTGACCAAATTCAGTGGCATTAGCATTCGATTTCTCAGTTCATCCACGAATTCTTCTGGTAATTGAATGCCCTGTAACCGTAAAATAAATGTTTACAAAAAATAAATAAAGTATATAAAAGTCCTTTGTATCTTATTTAACACTCATAGATTTGTCATTAGACACTACAAAAACACCATAGCTGGGAGTTTAATTTTAAAATTAGAATATCCTGTCGCATATTAAATAGGTATTTTCATTATTATTAAATTAATCATGTGATTATTATTATATATTTGAGACGTGAGCTTTGCTGGAAACGTAATCGGCGGCGGGTTGTCATTGACAAAATGCCTCACAGGGGTAGTGACGGATTATGTCGAACACGCATTGACTAAAACTACGTTCTACCTTCGCCGCATATTGGCATGGCCGCGGGAACGATTTCGCACACATGAACTCTACCTGCGCCGGCGGCCCTTCCTCGGGACAACTTCAAAACACAAGGCGCCTTTCTCCGCGGCCTCCAACTCCCATCTGCGCAACGAAACCAAAAGTCCAATACGCGGAGGCCATGGGCCAAAAAAAACAAGATTCTGAAGCACCAGCCTTCCTAAGCATAGCGTCGAATTTGGTCTATGGCTCCACTGCCGACCACGTTTTGACCGCGAAGAGTCGAAAGAGCATGAGCGGTACGGCACCGTTTAACTGCAGCATTAGCGGGAGAACAGAATATACTACAATATTTTTTGTTCAATATACATTACCAGAATACTTATTTAAAGTCATTTATACTTTAATCAACACTGGAAGGTGGTACCGTCATAGGTCATTAGGTTGAAAAATCGATTTCTGATTTGTGATGTCATACTATTCCTCATTACTCACTAGTAGCCATACTACACGACACTATAATATAAGAAATCTTGATTTCGTCATAACATCATTAACATTTTGGCATCGGAAGTGACAACATCGAATTTCACTGGTAACACAGTGTTATCAGTATTAGTTCAGTCACTATATTTGTGCCCGTTCAATACTGGGAAAATTGCCATAGTGATTGTTGTTTGTAATGGAGTTAGAAGTCCAAGGTATGTACAACATTTACCATATTTTTAATTTTATTTTACTTATGATGACATGTTATACTTAGTTATACTCGTACTGCTGGTGCTACGTCGGGTATAAAAAATAGTATTAACGTTTAGATCTTTTTTCTTATGTAAGCTTTTAACTAAGTTTTTAAAATTTTTAGAGGTTTTTTTCGTCGAAATGTTCTTTAATGTTTCAAGTTTTTAATCAAAGCTAATTTAGGTGCACGAAAGTGCTCTGAGCTCTTTCTAGGCAACTCGTAGCACCCGTGCGTCGAAGGTCTACGAACATGCTACAAATGTTTTTTTTTTAAATGAAAAATATTAATTCTCCCAGGTACTTGTTATAAATGCACATTTACTCGTATGCATTTATTGGACGTTTCGAGCTCGATAAAGGGGAGCATGTCGGAAACAGATAAGATTCGGAGAGTCTTTCATGAGTTGATGAAATCTATTCCGGACTTCGAGAATGTGGATTCCGACAGTATACTGAACCATGTTAAATACATTTGCACCAGGATATCTATAGTTTGGAAAGAGGCTGAACGATCAAAGTCGAAGATTGTCGGAAAGGATCGCGACTGGCTCTATGGAGTAGAAGACTGCAGCCTTATCACGTCTACGCAGCCTGTTGAAAATACTGATTCAATGAACTGCACAAGTAGTGGCAATAGTGATGCAGGGAACCGGTACAGAAAAGACTGCGGATTACAGCAAGCGTGCACAGTGTCGCAGGTTGGCTACCTTATCTTAGGAAGATGACTGCAGTTAATGCGTTACTAAAAATAAATCCGAAAAATCCACTTTTTCACAATTCAGTAGCGAAAAGGTTTTGTTTTTTTTTATTGTAGAGGCCAAGTTAACTAAATATCAGTATTTATTATTCAAAGAATTCATTCACTCTAAAATTCCAAACGTCTTGCCTTCATATCAAAAAGTACTAGATGGGAAAAAGCGTTGCTAAGCTTCCGGAGAACGGATAACAGAATCATCGACCTTGAATACTTGATGAATGTATGATGATGAACTCGGATACTTGAATCCCAAAAGTACAAGCTCTCCAAAATCTAGTGAAGATTTTTTATTAATAGGTAAGTGGGGTTTTGACGGTAGCACGCGATAAAGTGAACACAGTTTTTCGGATTCAAGTATCGAGGATGTAAAATTTGTTATTTCATATGTTCCTCTACAGTTAGTTTGTAAATCAAACACCTCAGACCCTGATCGCATAATATGGAAAAATCCTCGCCCTTCATCCACAAGATTTTGTAGACCCATTCGATTCCAATTTTCCAAAGAAACTAAGGTGCATTTTGTGCAAGAAGAAGCTTACATCACAAACTAAATCGGCAACTTGCAATCAACGCCATTTTTTTTCTTATTAATGTCGTAATATTGTATAACGTAACGATCATCCAAAAATACCATAAAGTGGGCCATACCCATATGGAGGTTGACAGCATGCACGCTGTGCACGACGCAAACATAGTAATACGTCGAACGAAATGACTTACGGATTGCTTGTCGTAACCATCGCTAGTTGAACAACCTAGGGGCGGTGGGCGGAGCCATGAGAATGTTATGATCGTCGGGGCGCGTTCACGGTTCCACAACTAGCGATGGTTGCCCACAGCAACGCGGGAAAAGCCGTAGCAATAATATTGAGAAATATAGCTTTTAATTTTTAATAAATAGTATTGTAACTATGTAATAACTCTCGCAATAAAGGCACCGAACAACTGGCGAGAGTTAACATAGATTTAGAATATAGAAATTAATTAATGCCAAATTGTAGAGTAAGTATTATATGTAAAATGTATTCTTTTGTATATTGCAATTTAATTTCTTATATATTAAGCCTTTAGGCACGAAAAATAATAAACAGGGCATGTTACCGTGACGCGGCCGCGGAGCGAATGAGGCTACGCGCGCCGCGCCACGACGTTTTATATTTATAGTACTGAGGCGGGGGGCAGGGTCCTCAGCTCAAAATTGCTGGAAAAACAACCTTTTAACCATTAGTATATAGAAAAATTGTTATGTAAATATTAGTTTAATAAGTAGTTGTAAGAATGTTATATATTTAAGTCTGTTCATTAGTTTGTAAGAAATCTACCTAATAAAGAAAGGCGCGGGGGTGAGGCAAGGGTCCGCTGGCCAGCAACGGCCAAATCGTATATAAGACGGGCCGGCCGGAACGGTCGGCAGTCGCTCTCCAGCTACAGAAAAGGAAACAGCAGCAAGAAAAGAAAAAGTTCCTCCTCACCGCCGCTTGCCTCCAGTTTAAGCAAGACCAACGCGTTTCATTCATTTTTCGAACGGCGTTACGGCGATCCGTAACATTAATGGTCCTTCGAGAAGCCGGATTACTAGAAGAAAAAGACAATATCGGTCTTGGTATTGCCGGAAGAAAGAAGCAAACCGCAAGAACGAAAAAATATTATTGTGAAGAAAAATGGTGATTACACGTAGTAACAACGGAGAATCATCGAAGCGTCGCAAGGATGAACAAATAACCCAGGGGGCCACAGAAGAGGCCTCTGGGGGCGATTCAACCGCTACTGGTACATCCAACACCACGAGCGAAACCACAAAGGTCAGCGATACAACCGCTACCTCTGCGACCGATAACACGGCCGCAACGGAAGAAACCCAGCAAGAGAGGGATCGAAGATCGCAGCGCACACTAAGGCCCGACGAGACTAGGTCGCGCCGCTCCGTAGCCTCACGCAAGAGACTCCTCGCGGAGTTAGAGGCGAAAGAGCGGTTAGCCGAACTCAAGCTCGAGCAGGCTCAGTTGCAAGCAAGAACGGAATTGCAAGAAATACACGTGCAGCGATTACAAGCAGAAGTCGGATCAACCGATGACGAAGATGAAGAAATAGAAGACGATTTAGCATCAGTACGCATTAGTACATGGTTGCAAGAAAAACCTACATCGCAACCAGCGCCGCAGCCTGCGCCGCAACCCACGTCGCACTTCGCATCGCAACCCGCTCCGCAGTCTACATCGCAACCCGCGCCGCAGCCCGCGCCGCAACCCGCGCCGCACTTCGCAACGCAACCCGCTCCGCAGTTTGCATCACAACCCGCGCCGCAGAAAGAAGACAATGGGCAGGCGCAGCAACAAATCGACGTCGCTACCTTAGCCGCTGCTCTATCACAAGCAGTACGAAGCACAAGGGAGCCGCCGAAATATGTGCAAGAGCTACCTACATTCAATGGTAGCAGCAAAGAATGGCTCAGCTTCAAAACAACGTACGAAGAATCTTCAAAGTTCTTCACGATGAACGAAAACATAGCGAGAATACGCCGAAGCTTAAAAGGGACAGCAAAAGAAGCCGCAGGTTGCCTACTTATAAGCCAACCAGATTCCAGCCTGATAGTGGAAGCTTTGGAAAGGAGATTCGGACGACCAGAAGCGTTAATCCACTTGGAAATAGAGAAGCTGAAGCTGCTGAACAAAGTTACGGACAATCCCAGGGAGCTATGCATATTCGCAAATCGCATAGCAAACGTAGTGGGCACCGTGGAAGCACTCAAGAAAGCACACTATCTGCATAGTCCGGAAATGACGCGAGTTATCACAGACAAACTCACGCCTATATTGAGAAGCAAATGGTACGACTATGCAGCCAGAAAGAAAGAAGATATCCCAGAGCTTAAGAAGATATCAATGTTCTTAAACGATGAAGCGGACAAATGCAGCGCGTATGCCTTGCCGGAGTTCATAGCAGAGGACGGCGAGACGAGAGAGCGAAGACCGAGAAAAATAGAACGTGCCTTCGCCACAAGCAAGAAACAATATGAAGAACGCTGCCCTCAATGCAAACAAGAACACAAACTGCGCGATTGCAAGTCATACGCCGCTCTGTCCACTAATGACAGATGGGAAGTAGCAAAGAAGAATAATATCTGCTACCGCTGTCTGCGAGGCAAACATCGCCGGTTGCTGTGTAAATCTCCACCGTGCGGAAAAGGCGGATGCATGATGA